TTTTTTTTTTCTAGAATGTTTTAGAAGTCACCTGATATGCTTTCACATTATTTTCACATTATTTTAAATAGGTTTTGATCTTGTATAATATTTATATTCCAATTTATCATACATATTCTATTAAAAAAATCTTCAAATGTTTCTGGTATACTTTTAGCATAGAGCAAATACATTGTATCTTTAATTGGGCAATTAAATTTCATAATTTAAAAATGAAATATTAAAATTATCTTCAAAGTATATTTTGATTCTAATTTTATGATGTAAGGTTGAAGTTTTTTTTTTTTTTTTTTTTTTGTCTGAAGGTAAAAAAACAAATATTAAGCAGATTCTAAGAACCCTTTTAAAAAACTATAATAAAAAATAATAATTCAAAAGTTCTTCCTCTACCAACTACTTGTATAGTAATTAGTTGAACTAGATTACAGTTTACTAGGCTGTAACAACTTGACTTTTTAGACTTATTATAACCATTACTATTATGAGCATGTAAAAAACAGAATTTACTCATGAAAAATTGAGAATAGACACGGAATGTCCTGATCACCATCCAAGCAAATTCAAGTTCATATAAAAAATAATAATGCAATGTATGAAAAGTATAAAAATACTTAATAAGTAGTCCTACTTACAAGACCATGGAGGCATAAACGTTCATTCATACTTATCTTAGAATACAAAGGCCTTATTTTAATTGATCTAAGTATATAATAAGCACTATTAACGTATCTATTTTGTTGTGCTATAACTCATGGCTTACTCAAGGTCATCTTTTTGATTGATTGTTAAAACCAAATGCTTTTAGATTTTATAGTACTTTTTACGATTGCTAACAAAATTTGTGTAAATTATTGTGTTTAAGTTGGACAAATGAATGCTGAATTACGTCACCTTAAATGAGTAACTCACAAAAGAAATTATTTCTAATGTGAAAATTGATAATACCTTGGATGTTACAATATTCTCGCCTTAAAATCACCTTGTTTTAGTCTCTTACAAGAATTTGCATGGACTTTTTGGAGTGCAGGTTCTCATTCAAATGTAAGGGCTTGTAATCATATAACATAGTTGACGTATATTTTTACAATATTGAGACGTAAAGCACATCATGGGTAGAGAAAGAGATAGTGGCATAACCAATCAATAAGTTATAGTGTCGATTCTCTCCAAAATTTTAAATGATATGATGAAAATTGTATTTTCAATTGACGTTGGAGATTGAACTATTGATCAGTTCAGAGTGATTATCATTTTTTACATATTAAATAGTTAGTTTAAGAGAGGTGGCATACAAATTTAAGAAGTTTTCTATGCGGTTCATAATGAATGAGATTTTTATATAATCTAAATACTTTAGGGATTAAATTGAAAAATTTATTTTCACATTTTATTTTGAGTCAACAATAATATTCTTGTGCTTTCTCCAATATCATTCACAAAGGACAACTAAACATTAAATTCTTTATTTCCAATATCATTCCCAAAGAGAAATCACAACATGGAATTCATGAGAAAGTAGCTTAAGCTCATTTCTTCTTGAATTTCATCACCGGAGAAGAAGGTTGAAGAACCATAATCCTTTAGACTTGATTCCTAAGTGACTCTTGTATGATTTATAGGCATAATCTAGGAGTTTATCAAGTTCATCTTCACTGATAAAACCATCATTATTAGTAGCAGCATAATCCAAAGTGTATTGAGCTCTGTAGTATGGATTAATTGAGCCTAGAAAACTAAAAGATTTTGTTACCTCTTTTTTGTTGAGAAAACCATATTTGTGGCTGTCCTAATATTTGAAAATCTTCTTTATTGGCTCTCTACTAAGTGCTCATCAAATGCCTTTTCACTAAGAACTTTTGTTGAGGATTTTGTTTCTTTGCCTTGTACTTCTATCTTTGAGTTTGTATGAGCATTAGAGCTTAACATGTGCACAACATTGTCGTTTGTCTTTGGGATCTTAGATAAATTTTCTCGATTGTTGAGTTGAGTTGACCCTCGAACATCACGGAGAAAGAACTGTAGCTCTTCTTTACTGAGCATGCCATCACCGTTTTGTCATACTTCTTCATCAATTCATTTGCTTCATTCTCAGCCCAAGTCTGGAGATTGGAGACAGACATTGTTAAGCTAAGACTTTGTTAGTTTAGATGAAATGTTTGAAGATGGAAGAAATCTTAAAATGGTTCACGTATCTATAGCAACTCAAAAAAGAACTTTTTAACTTCAAAACCTTATTCCTTTTGTACGTGAATGGAACATAATCTTGATAATTCTTTATTACATAAAAAAAATTTAGAATCAATATCGTAGCTTTGAAAAAAGATGTTGCTTGTGGATAGACATAAATATAAAAATGCTTTATGTGTAATATTTGCTTTAATAATTTATTTATGGATTCATTTGTTGGTTAGATAGAAAGTCTATTTTAGTCATCCTATCCTCACAATCACTCTCATTCGTATGTAGTGTCAGTTTATCATGTACTGTTCCTTTACTCGGATATCACAAGCCCACATAGTTTCGCTTTCATTCGTCTCTAAACCACATCTTACAGGGAGAGATATCGCTCTAATACAATTTGTAGCGACATATACCTAGGATTCGGATAAGGATTCAACACTTAATGACCTCGTCATTCCCATGCATCCCCTACAACATTGTCACATACCTACTCCTCATTTCTTAAGATTGAAGACTATCTCCACAAAACAACATGAGTCTGTATAGCATGATTTGCCCTTACTCATATGTATCTTAGGAAAATTTACTAGGCCCAACCTAGAATTGTTCTAAGTAAAATACGCTGAATCATATAGAGTTCCTATGATTGATCCACTAAAAAGAAAGGTGAATATTGTTGGCATAAGTAGTGTAAATTCTTTTTAATCTTTTTTTAGTTATCCTAGTTTTATGATCATTCTCATTCAGATGTGATCTCGGTTCATTCATGTACCCCACCAACTTTCGCCTTGATTTCTCTTTGAACCACACTTACTAGGAGATGGACCACTCTGATACCATTTGTAACGACCCATGCCAAGATTCAAATTAGGATTCAGAATTCGAATTCAGTACCTGATGACCCTTGTAACCCCCCATGACATGGTCATGTTACCTACTCATTCCTTCGTAAGAGAGAAGACTATCCCCATGAACCAACACGAGTCCTTTCAATGTCTTTTGTCTTCACTCATATGTATCCAACGAAAATTTCTAGAAGGCCACCCAATATAGAATTCCTCCAAGTAAAGCACGTTTAACAATGAAGTTCCTCTGACTAAGTGATTGAAAAGGAACTTGCACCTTGTAGGTATAGGTGTAGCTTTTATTTTTTCTTTAAGTTTTTCTTAGTCATTCTATCCTCACAATTGCTCTCATTGAGACGTGTTCTTGGTTCACTCATGTACCCCTTATTTACTTGAGTGTCATAGTTTATGTTATTTATGACTATTTAGTGTCTTTACAATGTACTATGTTGGGACCATTAAAGCGCCATCAACAAACATCTAGTATTGAGTAGTTTATCCTGACTAGCTTATATATATATATCCTAGTTGGTTTAGGCATTAGAGAGTTGTTCCCCTTTTATTTATATATATATATATATATATATATATTATCAAAGAGGAATTTGTTTTTGTTTATAAAAAAAAAAAAAATGAAATATTTGACGTCTATTGAGAAGAAATTTTGCATAAACCATATTGTGGGGAATTTTCTAAATGTGCCATGTAACCTTTCTCCCCATGTTTAGAATGTTTTATGTTTTTTTTTTTCTTTCCATAGAATGTGTTGTTTAGAAGTTATGTGATTTGCTTTAATTTATTTTATGCTTTCACAATATTTTAAGTAGGATTTTATGTTCAAAAAGTTATATTCTTCTTTTAACTATGAAAAATATTTTTGGCCCAATGTTTATATTCAAATTTATCAATACATATTCTTTTAAAAAATCTTCAAATACTTCATTCTATATAAGTATAGAGCAAATACTTTGTATCTTCATTTAGGCCATTAAATTTCATAATTTATAAATAAAATATTAAAATCATCTTTAAAATAGATTTTTATTCTGATTCTATGATTAAGATTAAAGATTTTTTTGTGTCTGAAGTTGAAAAATAAATATTAAGCTAGATTCTAAAAACCCTTTTAAAAAACTATAATAATCGGATTAATGTTCTATTCAACTCCCAAAGGAATAAGATTATGAAATGAAAAGTTCTTCCTCTACCAACTACTTGTATAGTAATTAGTTGACATTCGTTGAACTAGGTCGCAGTCTACTAGGTTGTAACAACTTTGATTTTTTAAACTTATTATAAACGATTAGTACTATGGGTATGTAAAAAACAGAGTTTACTCATGAAAAATAGAGAACAGATATCGAATGTCCTAATTACGATCCAAGCCGATTCAAGTTTCATATGAAAAATAATAATATACATATGGAGAGTATAAAAATACTTAATAACTAGTCCTACTTACAAGACCACTGAGGCATAAACATCCATTCATACTTATCTTAGAATATGAAGGCTTTATTTTAATTGGTCTAAGTATACAATTAACACTATTAACGTATCTGTTTTGTTATGTGCTATTACTCCTCGATTACTCAAGCTATCTTTTTGATTGATTATAATGTACCAACCAAATGGTGGGACCTGCTAAGAGTGATTATCATTTAAATATTAAATAGATGGTTTAAGAGAGGTGGCTAAGCTTTCTATGCCATTTATAGTGAATGAGATTTTTATATAATCTAAATACTTTAGAGATTAAATTGGAAAATTTATTTTAACATTTTATTTTGAGTCCATATTTCGATATGATCCTATTAATTATGATAATATTCTTGTACTTGCTCTAATACCGGTCAACAAAAAATAATAGTAATAATAATAATAATCAATAAATAAATTATTTATTTCCAATATCATTCCCAAATAGAAATCACAACTCACAACATAGAATCCACAAGGAAGTAGCTTATAAGTTCATTTCTTCTTGATAATTTTATAGGCATAATCTATGAGTTTTTCAAGCTCAGCTTCACTAATAAGACCATCATTATTAGCATCAGCAAAAGTCATAGCGTACTGCGCCTTGTAGAATGGATTAATTGAGCCTAGAAAGCTAAATGCTTTCGTTACCTCTCTTATGTTGAGAAAACCATCTTTGTCGCTGTCATAATATTTGAAAATCTTCTTTATCTGCTCTCTACTAAGTGGCACGTTAGATACCTTTTCACTAAGAACTTTTGTCGAGGATTTTGTAGCTTTGCTTTGTACTTGTATTTTTGGGTTTGTACGAGGATTTGAGTTAAGCTTGTGTGCACCCTTGTCGTTTGTTCTTGGAATCTTAGATAAAAACCCTTGATTGTTGAGTTGAGTTGATCCTCGAACATCACGAAGAAAGACTTGTAGCTCTTCTTTAGTGAGAACACCATCACCGTTTTTGTCATACTTCTTGATCAATTCATTTGCTTTATTCTCGGCCCAAGCTTGGAGTATGGAGACAGACATTGTTGAACTAAGGCTTCGTTAGTTGGGAGGAAATTTTTGAGGATGGAAGAAATCTTAAGATCGTTCAAGTATTTTATAGCGACTAAAAAAGGAACTTTTCGACTTTATAACTTTATTCTATTTTGAGGTGAATGGAATAAAAACTTAGAATCAATACGGTTGCTTTAGAAAAAGATATATATACATATATATATATAATTTCCCTTTGCTATTGGCATTCAGATTTGTTTGGATTACTTGTTGAAAACATGTTTTGTTTTTATTTTTTTTTAATGTTGGATAGAATTTTGTTGAGTCAAACAAAAATATCCTTCTTCAACACTTATCTACCTTTAAGGAAACTCATATTTTGTATATGAAAATTTAATAAGTACAACGTGAAAAAAAAAATCAAATATTTTATAAAAAGTCAATGTTTAATGTATCTAAATATCCCTTTATAACAAGTTTTTTTAAAGTGAATTTAGAAGGTGGAATATCGAATAAAAAAAATTTAAATTTAAAGAATAACTAGAATGAGATGATTTTAGAGTATTGGAAACTAAATATATTGGGCATATTTATTTAATATTACATGTTTAAAATATGAAATATAATTCAAAGTATCGTAGTATTTGAAGATTTCCATGCACGTTGATAAAAGTTCGAATATAAGTCTTATGTATCAAATATATTTAAGAATCTTGTAGTTATATTGTATCGACATTTTAAGACTTTTATTTAGGGTCATCCTTGCATGCATGTAGATAAATATTTGAGAAACCTACGATTTAAATCTAAAATAAAATAAATATTTGTAAAATGAAAAATTTCACCGTTAATAACTTTCTAGATTGGAATCTCATTTAAAATATTGTCAAAATATGAAATAAAACATTTAGTAAAACATTATAGACATCAAAGAATATAAATGTGGATATAAGACGTACTATACATGATGCAAACACGTACAAGATGATTTATACAGATTTTTTTAGTGGGACATAAAACTTTTCATCTTAATTTTTTTTAACTGTAAGATTCCACATCAATCAGAGAGGGGAACGAAAACCTCCCTCTAGTAGACGCGTTTTAAAATCGTGAAGTTGACGACGATACGTAATGGGCCAAATCGAACAATATCTTCCTCTACCAACTACTTGGTATAGTAATTAGTTGCATCCACTCAATTGAGCTAGATGATGATATACTAGATTGTAACAACTTGACATTTCAAACGTAATTATAAAGGATTACTACCATTGGTATGTAAAAAATCGAGTTTACTCATTAAAAATAGATAACTTTTTGAATTTTTAATAGGATTCTTGTCTATAATTATCTCCATAGTCTTACTAGATATTAAATATCTTGATCACCCTTCTGTAGTTCAAGTTTCATATTAAAAAAAATATACGTACGAGGAGTATAAAAATATTTAATAAGTAGTCCTATTTACAAGACCCCTGAATCATAAACGTCTATTCATATTTATTTTAGAATACAAAGGTCTGAACTTAATTAGTCTAATTATACAGTTAACATAAGTAATCTCTCATGTGTTATTACTCGTGGCTTACTCAATGATATCCCATGTTGTTGTTTACAAGACTCCTGAATCATAAATGTCTATTCATACTTATTTTAGAATACAAAGGTCTGAACTTAATTAGTCTGATTATACAGTTAACATGTGTAATCTCTAATGTGTTATTACTCATGGCTTACTCAAAGCTATCCCATGTTGTTTCTAAATAAGAGTTATTTCTTAATTACATGGTGTCTTTCGATTAATTACAAGAATTTGCATGGACTTTTCAGAACCGAGGTTTCGTTCTCATTCGAAAAATTTATTTTAACATTTTGATTTATTTTGTGTCAATATTTCGACTATGATCGTATTAATAAAGATAGCATTGTTGTGCTTGATAATCATTCACAAAGATACATTAACAAAAAATTAATATTAATAATAAAGTAAGATAAATTCTTTATTTCCAAATACATATTCTTGATTTACAACTACTTTCTTTTTATTTTATTGTTATCAACTATTGACGTCAGGTACAATATGAAATTCACGAGAAAGTAATTTATAAGCTCATTTTTTCTTGATGATTTTACTAGCATAATCTATGAGTTTGTCAAGCTCATCTTCACTGATAAGACCATCATTATTAGCATCAGCATAATCCAAAGCGTATTGAGCCCTGTAATATGGATTAACTGAACCAAGAAAACTAAAAGCTTTTGTTACTTCTCTTTTATTGAGAAAACTATCTTTGTCGCTGTCGTAATATTTGAAAATCTTCTTTATTTGCTCTCTACTAAGTGACTCATCAGATGCCTTTTCACTAAAAACTTTTGTCGAGGATTTTGTAGCTTTATCTTGTACTTGTATCTTTGAGTTTGTATGAGCATTTGAGCTTAACATGTGTGCAGCATTGTCGTTTGTCTTTGGGATCTTAGATAAAATTTCTCGATTGTTGAGTTGAGTTGATCCTCGAACATCACGGAAAAAGAATTGTAACTCTTGTTTATTGAGCATGCCATCACCGTCTTTGTCATACTTCTTCATCAATTCATTTGCTTCATTCTCGGCCCAAGCTTGGAGATTGGAGACAAACATTGTGAAGCTAAGACTTTGTCAGTTTAGAGGAAATGTTTGAAGATGAAAGAAATCTTAAGATGGTTCACATATTTATAGCTATTCAAGAAAGAACTTTTTAACTTTATAACCTTATTCCTTTTCAGGGGAACGTAATCTTGATAATTATTATTATTATTTTTTTTTTTAAAAATAAAACTTAGAATCAATACACTAAAAATGCTTTATGTGTAATATTTGCTTTAATAATTTATTTATGGATTCATTTGTTGGTATAAGTAGTAACTTTAAATTCCTTGAAGTCTTTTTTTAGTCATGCTATCCTCAGAATCACTCTTATTCGCATGTAGTCTCAGTTTATCATGTACTGCTCCTTTACTCGGATATCACAAGCCCACAAAGTTTCGCTTTCATTCGCCTCCAAACCACATCTTACAGGGAGAGGTATCGTTCTAATACAATTTGTAACGACATATACTGTAACGACCCTAAATTTCCACATACTCAGAGTCGCTACTAACGTTTGATGCTCATCTATAATGAGGAAATAACTCTTATATGAACATAATTGATAACGTAAATTTAAAAAAAAACGTTTAAAACAACTTCTTCTCTAGAAAACACAGCCATGGTCTTACGTGTTTAAATATGAAATACTGAACATTTAGAGAAAACAAAAACAAATACAAAATAATTTAAAACAATGAAATGCAAAACAACCTATTCTAACTTAAGACTAGAAATTTAAATATGAATCTACCCTATGCACGTGCCACAGTCTCTACTCGCGATGCCGCCGTCCTCCATACAAGTGCGCCTTGCCTTTACCTGAAAAATGATGTGGCACACGGCCTGAGTACTTCAAAGAATACTCAGTAAGTGGCCCCACTATAGGGGCCATGCAAATGCAAACACATGCAATATGATTTAGGGACCTATCTCTAATCATCTTAGGGGTGGCCTCCAGTCTCGGAAAAATTGGATGTGTAGTACTTCCCTACACACGACTCACACGTGCGAGTGTGAGTCCCCAGGGCGCTCGCACACCCCCTGGACCCTCTGGTCAAGCTAATCTGTAGCGACGTCCGGAGGTCAGCGGAACCCCATAGTGTCATGCGCCTCATGAACACCCTCATCTGTGTGCTTTCGCACCTGTGCGCTTTCGCGCTCATCATAAGGTGCGCGTCCGCACTCATCATCTCTAGGGGAA